TTTCGAGGATAACATAATAACGTTTGCATATCTAGGTTGCGTTATTCAAAACGAAATCTTTTTTTCTTGATCTATGGATATCTCCTGCGTCATTTTTCCGTTTAATGATGGTACGCCAAGACGATTCCTCACATAAACTAGAAAGGTAGTAACGGCTACAGTTACTACCTCTTTCATTCCAGTTACTAGTTGTTTACTATCATCGGTAGTAAACAGGACGCAAAAAGGTAGGAATGGTTGCAGCTAGTAACCGTTTACTAACGTAGGTTAGTAAACATGTAGCAAAAGCGTAGTAATGCTTCAAGAGAAGTAGTAAGCGCTGCAGTTACTATTCGCTTGCAGTTGCTACCTTTTTACTAACTTTTTTAAGAGTGCAGTTAAACGACTGTTTAGAAGCAGGTAGTCCAACCACTCACTTTTGTCATTGTGAAGTGATGGAACTTGCTCAGCAATACACGCAAGTCAGATAGGAACGGGGGAGTTTAATGTGAAAGTGCGGAAAGATTTTGCCACGCAACGACCACACGTTACGCAGGTGGAAATCTGAACATGCTTTTATCTATAAAGGTGACGTCAGACTTTGCTAAATCCAATTTGCTGCTGCAGCGATACAGACACATTACGTTGGCTTGAACGCATAACTGGGGATATCTCTAGAGTTTAACCTCTTACGTGGCAGCTTCCATCTTTGCTATCACCACTACCGATCAATGCATCACAGCCGGAGAAGTGAAAAAACGCAGAGGCGTTAAAAGCGGCTGCGAACAATGTCTGGCCCTTACTACAATGCTGCAGCTGACCACTACTTTCTCCCACAGCAGGTCACTGTGGTAAGAAAGTGGTGCTTAAGTACTTTCTCATCGACCTAAGTTAGAATTGTAATCAGTCGTTGTCTCTGACTCTCTATACATCATATCGAGGACAGTCAAACAAACTGGCTGAATGTACCATCGCGAACACAGTCAGAACTCTTGACTATAGAACACGCACATACCACTGGCCTTACGTTTTTCTTGCTATCTTGTTTATCTGATCTTTTGTTACTCATTAGCAGTTACTTCGTGACAATTAGACTTGAAGTGCTGGCGAGGACTTGTGAACTTCGTGCAGACTATCCTCCTCAGACGGACAAGTTTACAAGCTCACTGCCCACTAAGAGTGAGGAATTCCTTAGACACAGTTCCTGCTTGCCTGTTTTAGTATTTCGGATTCCAACATATTTCTAGACAACGGCCAAGAACTTGATCTGAATATTTCTCGGTTTTAAATTTATGGGCATGCTCGTCATGAATGCTGTATTGTGCGCACTTGAAACTTCGCCCTCTTTCCTTCTTGCTTTCTCTATTCTCGTTGTTATCTCGGCTCTCCTCGTGTATGGTAGTAAACCTGGTACAACGTGGTTAAGATCCCTGCCTTTCGTTTGCCTCCTTGCTCTCTCTCTCCCCTCCCTTCATCCCTTTGCCATGACGTTTGTACGAGTATCAGAGCTTCGTGTTGTAGCATTTAGGCAGGCAAGCATCGTGCAGTTCAAAGAACGTATCATTAAAAAATGGAAGTTGCTCATTGAAAAATCAATAAACTCAGCTGACTGCTGAGTGCACGTACATTAGGTGCTCATTGAACGTGTAGCCCACACTACACTGAGTTCAAAATATTGGAAAACGAGCAATAGACATGTGGAATACATAAAAGCGCTGAATTTTGCATAGCTGGAGTTTCAACATTGGCTGAATGCTAATCACATGAACTTACAGTTCGTTGTGATATCTGTTCTGCCAGAACTGTGATGTCAAGAAGGCTATGAGTATAAATTAATAACATGTAACAGTCTGAATGAAAATACCCACAGAAGCACGTAGTGTTTCTGTGAGTATCTTAACTGCACCTGGATTCTCTGTTCTGGCGGCACTTCTACACTTCCCAGATTCACGGGTTTCGTGTGTTCAGGCGTTTATAAGACAGTTTGGAATAAAAATAATAAATAGTTGTTTAATGCATTGGCGTACGTAACCTATCTGCGAATGCGGCGTTGCAGAGTCGGATGATGACGACACTCTGAGATCGAGTCGGAGTGTTGCGCTGAGTGAGCATATACGATGGGCCCGAACTAGCAAATTTGTTTAGAAAAGACTGAAACAAATAAGCAAATCAGAACATGAACGGTGCACTGCAGTATTATTCTTTTTATTTTGTTCGCTGGAGAACCTATTGATATGGAGTAGCCGAGGCAATATAAACTTCAACCTCTGCACAGCAGCACCTATAGAACAGAACAGAACGTACACTCAGAATTAACAGTCCGTTAAAAGCAGCGCCAAGTAGAGAGAAAATGGAGAAGGTAGAGGGTACGAAGTGAGTGTAGCGGGCAGGTTGGCCCAGTTCATCATCATCATCAGTTATTAAACTCCTGAAAGCCTTATACAAGGCATTAGATAAGTAATAGGAATATAAATATTCTAAGGGCATTGCAGAATTGTATTTCTTAAAAACATCGGTGAAGAAAATGCAGATTACACCTTGTCGAACATAAAAATCAGCAAATTGTGAAAGTGTTATAACTATTACTCGTGGAAGATTGCACATGTTTTTGGGTACTTTGCACCGATTTGACCTATTTTTTAGGCTGGTGGCAACATAAAGTTTTTGATACCTGGTTACTTTTTGGACGTTTTTCATTGCCTCGATAACAGTGACGTTATCAATTATGGGGATGTGACAACGTTAGGCGTTCAAGTATGAGGTGTCAGAACATGGCGGCCGAGATATGTTTTTAGGCCCGAAAATTTCATAAGTGCTTTCATTATACAAAAACACAGGCTTTTGGATATGTGGCTTGGACTTCGGAGGAAAAACTCAGAACTATTGCATGGAGGCTCCGTCAGCAGATCCCCTACTAGCGAGCATGACTTTGATTGGCAAATGAAAGTGAACAAGACAATCAAAAGCACTACGCCTCAGTGGAACCCTGCAATGAACGACATTAGGAATCGGATGGATGTCCAATGATCAGATTTCGTCTTTACTTTCGACTAAGTATGAACTGTGAGCCGGAAATATTGATGACTGAATTAGTCATCACGCGAGAACCTATTCCTGCAGTTACAAAAGTTAGTGACTGATTCCCAGAAACTCTGAGTGTGCAGTGAGCACAGTCGTACTGAATTTTACTGTTGTGCGTGCCCCTTGCCGAAGTCTAATTTTAATGGTGCCGAAAGTCCTCTCAACAAAATAAGAACAAGCATAAAGGTAGTCATTTAGGCACAGCCCAAAAAATTTCATCCACCTTATACGAAACGGTTGAAAAAGTCAACAATTTTCACTCGAATACCTTGATGCCGTGCTTGCTTATATTTTCGCGAAGGCGGTTTCCAATTTAGGAAACTAAAAACGCTGCACTTGTCTACACTTCTCAGCGTTAACTAAAAACGTTGCACTTGACAACACTGGTAGCTGACGCGTTGCTTGTGAGCCACAAGCAACGTGGTTAGGCGGAACAAACAATTGCGTATTGATTAGGTGGCATGGCGTCACCTAAAATCTTGCCAGAAAATATTTCTTTTGGCGAAGTGATTTCGGTTTTACTCGGTGGTGGGGTTGGCCCGATATAACGCACACTCATCCATAATCGTATTATTGTTTGAGATGTTCAACCTCAACATATATTATTATTATTATATTATTATTATCATTATTATTATTATTATATTGTTGTTGTTGTTGTTGTTGTTGTGGTTTTCTGTTGCCTTACAATGGACGTAAATACTAGCTGTCGGCTGTTAAGATACTACTCAACTTTGAAAATGCCGCCCCGCCGCGGAGGTCTATTCTGGCTAACACTCTCGGCTTCTGACCTGCCAGTTGCGGGATCAAATGCCGAATGTGGTGGCTGCATCTTCGATGAACGGGAAAATGTAGGTCCTTGTGCTCAGATTTGAGTGCACGTTATAGAAACCCAAGTGGTCGAAATTTCCGGAGCCCTCACTGCGGCGTCTCTCATAATTATATGGTGGTTTTGGGACGTTAACCCACACATATTAATATAGTTACCTTTGAAAATGCCGTACTGCACAAGTATTCTTTTCAATGCAAGAAGCGGCTCCGATGCCTTTTGTTACGAGAGAGTGTGGCTCACGAGACGATGCCATACAATGTTCTCATTGCATGAGATAAAGAGCCTGACATTACACCAGATATTACTGACGAATTGTCTGTTGGCCGCTATTTTTTTATCTCCATTTTCGGACAGGCAAAAGCAGTTACAATGCATTTTTATGTGTTTTTATCTGTTCTTTCATTTATCCTCAGTTGAGGCTTTGTTCTCACGGCCAGAAACGCAGACAGTATTGTCTTTCTTCTTGAACACGGCGAGTGCCAGCAGTTGTAATTAATATTGATCACAATGAGACTTCATGTTCACGAGCACAAGAGCTGTTTGTCGTTTCCTGCAAAGCTACAGTTGTTGATATCACATATCCGAGGCGTAGAGCTGTGCTTCCCTTATGATGGGGACTGAGAAGTGGTAATTGGATATTTAGAGCTAACGGAATGCAAACTGGTTTGTATAGATGGCATACAACCACAACGTGGGAGGTGCAACCACAACCTGGCTTTCAGCAAGGTTTCCTTCAGGATCTTTTGGGAAATGAAGTTTCGCTATCACCACTTCACATTAGGGCTCAGTTAGCTGTATTGACTAAACTGTATTCAACTGATCCTTTATTGGAACTTTGTGTGTAGCTATTGCTGGTACATTGGCACCCTAACAGTCGTTGTCTTATGAAGTTGTACAGCAGTATTGTTTTTAGCAGCGATGTTTTTGCGCGATTGTGTTGAATAGCTCATTCCGCAGAAATTCCGGCGTCGACGTCGTTGGTTTTGAGCTAAAAATCGTCTTCTCGTGTTTGACCGAAAACTGGAGAAAGGTGCAAATAAAAATTCTGGGTCTTAGTGGGGATCGAACCAGGGTAGTTTGTGTGGAGTGGCCATTCTACCACACAGCCATGCGTCTGCTTGTGAGTACAGTGAAAATAAGTTGATATGCTTGGAATCGCAGCGAGATTAACTTTCATGCTTTACAAATATACGTATCTTGTGCACATGCTTCACAATACAACAAGAAATATTGCAGCAAGGATGCGTGGTGCAAGCGTACACTGCCATCGGGCGTCAGAACACGTGATTATTACATTGACTTCATTGTTTAAAGCCAGTCACCCCTTACAATAGGCCCACAAGTTACCGCATCTATTTCGTCAGGGCCGTGTAGTGCGTGCATAAAACATTTTATTCACTTAGTGTTTGAAGTACGCACTATAGGGACAGGATATCGCTATCGCGTTCAACACTTAAAGCCGAGGCCTAAGGCTCCCGCTATTTTGTTATCAAATTCATCTGGAAGAAAGAAATTCTCAGAATATTTCTATAGCAGGTAGCAAGTCTAACTTTACTATGACATTAGCATACATTCGACATCAATTTATGCGAGGCTTCAGCTAATGTTTCCTAAGACCACGTACTACTGAATAATAAATAAAATTTAGTGTGCACTCACAAAATGTATATTTGCGATAAGCATTATACAATATTTTTTTAGAACGGCCAGTTACGCACGCAGTCGGTTGTTTCTTTAAGGTGTGAATGAAATATTAACCGAGAACCGAAGGTCGGTTAGCATTTAGGAACGCGCTGCGCACAGGATTCGGTTACGTTATCACGTTGTACTTTTGAAGGCGAAGCTCAAGCGTTCTTCAAGTAACTGTGTCATTATAAATATACGTCCAGAGTGAGTTACTTCATTTATCGCGTTGTTCTTTTTTTTTATAGAGACGTGCAATTTCGAAGAAGGCTTGTGCAAGGAATGGGTGACCCTTAACTGCAGCAAATACGCTTGCTTCAGGGTTCGCAAGGTCGCCAGTACGCAGCACGGACCCGTTAAAGACCATACGCTTCAAACAGGTAAGTTGTTGTGCCAGTTTGAGGCAACACTCACAAACGTGGCTGCTTCATTGTAAGGTGTTTATTTTTATATTAATGTAGAGTATGTATAGGAAGAATTTTTCGCGTCATGGTTTCAAGCTACCTAGCCGGTGGCAACAAAAAAAGAAAATGCCCCATTTGGCGTGTGTTTTGCCTCGAAGAATCATCAGCACACTCCGCGGAACCTGGTTCATTATTTGGTTTGATTTCAAGCTTGATCAGGTATTCTGCCTGTCAGCCATAGTATGTCATTACTAAATAACGGGTCGTAGCTCATAAGGAAGGGCGTATACCATTTTTGATATGAGTCATTATGGTGTTTTTTTGTGTTTACAAGTAGCACCACTTGTAGTGACCATATACGACCTCTTCGTACTGTTCTTCTTAAAAAGCAAGCGTGCGTTAGAATGTAACATGATGGAAATATTATCAGTGGCTAGATTCCATAGAGACGCTGAGAACATGTAACCCATAGGATATGTTCCAAATCAGGAATACGAGAGTTTTTATGATATGCAAGCTAAATAAACTTATGGACTTCTTTTGGTAATGCGTTACATCCCGCAGCGGTTGTTTTCAACTTGTGCATTGGTGGGTCATATTTTTCTTAGTGCTTCCTCAAAGCGAAAAACTTGTTCAATGGTGCTAAACTATAGAGTGTGGAGTTACTATAGACTATTTTACGAAGTGTATTCAGTGCTGCCATGTTGCGGGCGTTAACCTTTGTGTTTTGCGACTTGAACAGCTAAATGAACAGTGTTACGCTCGACGAATTTGATATGAAAATAGTTGAGTTGGTGTGTTTCGTGGCCCCAGTAAGTCACACCACCATCTATAAAAACAAAAATGAATCAACTTATCAGCGCGAGATGGTGGCATCCACATGTCTTAGGTAAACTAGCTTACCCTCGGTGACAACATTCTTTTGGCACTAAGGACAAAGCTAGGCGAGCGAAGCTAACGTTTACAGGCCGAGCTACTTGAGCATGTTGCCTTACGTGAAGTAGTGCGATTTAGCGCGCGTCTCGTAATATGGTGGAAAGTGACGGGGGCGCAGTATCAGCGTTTCGTGTAGACGCAGACGCCGCCTAGCATTTGAGGTACACGTAAAAAGGCGGGAGTTTTTCTGGCATTCAAAAACGCGAATAATATCAATATTTTCCTAGTGTGAGGTCCGTCCTGCACGAAATAGTTTCCCGTAGAAAATAAAGGATGAACTTTTGCATATCTCGTTGAGGAGAAGGAACAAACCTTTATTGATGCTGGCTGTGCCAGATAGCCCTTATTCCCACCGGGCTGGTTGACATCCCTAGTCCGGGACGTCATTAGTCGAGGCCGCCACCCGAGCCCGCTGGACTAGAGTTCGCTGTTCGTCTAGTGTAGAGCTATTGAGTAGGGTCGTCTTCCAGTCCTCTTTCGTGGGGTTGGGAAAGGGGGTTAATTTTGGGTTCATTTGGCAGGCCCAGACCATATGGTAAGTGTTGGCCACTTCCCCACAGTACTGGCACTGCCCGCTTATTTTTGGGTCGTAATAATTGAGCATGGCTGGACAGAGCAGCGTGTTTGTCTGTAGGCGCCGCAGGACGCGCTCCTCCGTTTTCGAGATCTCGTTGAAGGTACGGGCGCTTCTGTGGAACTGCATTCACTAGCGCTAGAATGGACGCGATTCGGCTCTGCATAGCCTTCGCTTCAATGCCAGCGTATAGTATGACATAATGTGGCAGATTTTTTTTATTGCGTCGATGAGCTGAGAAAGTATCGCTAAAAATGCCCTAAAATCTCGCATATTCACAGACAAAATAGCAAAGGACAGGTGAACTAATACGCGTAAACGTTTCGGAATGAATCCGACTGCAGAAACGCTGACTATCACTTGAAAAAGAAGAAAAAAAAATAAAACATGGCACATCCACGAAGTGAATGATCATGAGTGGGCGAAGCAGCGGGATAGTTTGGTGCTCTCGTAAATCACCCGCGACTTTGACCACTCACACATGTAAATGAGTGACAAAGCGGAGTGCATTTATATGTAATGTTTAATGCCCCTAAATTGTATGTTGTGTTGAGTTGTGAATTCTGTTCGGCCTTCTTTATTACTGCTTTGGGGTATCTGATCTATGGAAGTTGGCAAATACAAGGTCTGTGCACGTTCCCCTGGTGGTTGTTGGCTGTTTCCAGTCATACTAAATGCCTCGTAGAGCATATCGCCTCGTCATATACTACACAAACCAGTCGTTGTCCATGATAGTCATTGTCATCATCTTCATCATCATCAGCGTCATGGTCATCGTCATCACTGCTACGGCGCACGCCAACAACAATAACGGATAAGCCTCGACCCTAAGAAGCTTAACCCCTCAAAGGTATTAGGACAAAAAGCCTATGAATGCGTACTCAGGGAAAATAAAACCATGCCATTAGTCACCGACTAATGCGCGAAACCGCAAAAGAGAGCTGAATACGGGTGGAAATGACCATCTGCCTGATAACAACGAAGTGTCATGTGGGTAATTATAGAGTTATTTATAAGACAGCAATGCTTGAACAACAAAGCATGTTTTTTTTTCAACAAGATTGTAGGTAACTTTGATTGGGAGCGCACTTGCACTAGTGACAAAGTAATTAGTTGCTACATGGCGATGAAAGCAATCTCCTCCATTGTTTGACGAGTACATTGCTCCGCACTTGTGCGCCTTTGAGCAAGTTTTTGTTTTGTACGAATTGCTCCAGCCAGCTTTTGCATATTTCTCGATGAGTATAAGAACCCTCTCGTGTCATTCCAAAGTGAACTAAAGGAAAAAAATATAGACCCGCAATGACTAAAACATGCCAATGAAATATTTTTCATGACTTCTACGTGTTGGCATTCGTCTGACAGTATACTTAAAAAGCCGTTGTGGGGATATTTCTGCGAGTTTCAGGTTTCAATGAAACACAACTGTTAGAATAGATTTCGAACACCGTGCCACTGCTATGATCACAAGCTGGAATCGCTATCATAAATCAAATTTTTTTTTATATTCAGATGATTCATATGTGCGTAGCTGTCGGTTTAACTCTAGATCGTGAAACGATTAACCTGAAGATGACTGGGCGCGCCTCAGTGGTCTGGCTCAGCGGCAAGGTGAGCAGTTCATTCCGTTGGAGACAAAATGAGAGACAACAGTGATATAAATTATCTATTTTCATTGTTTTAACAGCTTGTCATTCAAAACTATGATGATCTAGATGATCTGCGCTATTCAGTGATTCGCAGAAGGGACATAGAAGGTTATTACCTGTAAGCAATTTAGAGTTACAATGAAGTGCAGCGCCACATAATCGTTTGAGCTCTTGTTCATTCTTTATTACTTTCCCATTTTCTGTACACAATTATTCAGCCATATTTCTGGAAGTTACCTAAGGATTGCCTTCTGCGACCGCTTTTAACAGTGTCAAGCCTATTGCGTACGACACACCACATATACCCCGCTTTCGCTTGGAAAGAAGGGAAAGGTATACGTTGTTATCTCTGCCTATAACTCCTCCCTATCTACTGCATGTTATACTAAACAGCGCACGCAACAGTAGCGTCACAGCCGAGAGGGCCATTACGCCAATCCTCTTTTTATTGAATGTGCAATCATGCCAATGAGAAAACTCGGAGTAGGTTTCCTCGGAACATAGACATACCTGAAAATTTATTTCCAAGTGAAACTGCGTAACCATGATTGCATGTAATCTTTAATATGAAACATACCACTTACTGTTGTAAATATACAGCTATTATTCTATTGTTGTTATCTTAGCAGCTGACAGCCACTGCTATCTTCTAACTCTGTGTGACCCTGGCCACCTAAATTATGCGCACAGATATTTTTCATGTATCCTCTGATACCTAATTTTAACAAAAGCATAGAGCATAGCTTAAGGCAGTTCTGGCGTACGTGGCAAGGGGAAATCAGTGAAGAATAACAATGAATATATATTTTTTTCCTTAGAGTGAAACGCGCAGTAAGGTGGTGGGCCGTGGGCTCCTTTATAGGTTTTGCTTAGTTTATGATGTTCAAGGGGCTCTTCAACACGTTTAAAAATATTCAAGCAATGAATTCACTGAAAGAGCTTATTGCCTCCCGAATTCGCCACCTTAATAATTTTTAGTATCCCTCCAGTGCGAGTCGAGTTACAAATGCTTCTCGCACTCTGCATTTGCTATCTGACGTCTCTCGTCTGGATGAGAGCACCAGAAGCTAACCAGGAAGAGATGGCTCGGAGACAAAAAAATTGGCACGATCTACATGTTACACTATAAATGTCGTCGAAAGACGATAGTCTAGCGCCTGGAGAGAGTGAACAAAACGCTTATTTGATGTTCTGCGCAAGAAAATCGGTGGATGGTATTCTGAAGGCGCTGCGTTAGAGTGCCTCGAGGGTGTGGCGGAGGCGAACAAGCTAGGCGCGTTAGACACGAGCGCCATCTGGCAGTTATCTTCGAAAACGAAAGCGTGCGCGACCGCGGAGAAAGATGCGCGCCAGCCTCGAAGGTGATAAGGTGTAGAATGCAAAACGACGGGCAGATGCCACCACCGTGTCGTTGTAGCAAAGCCTTGGAACACCTTCTTGAGCATCGCGTTGCACTGTCAACGCAGCGCGTTAAACGTTACAGTCCTTAGAGATCACTTGTGTGGGCCTCTTCATGTACAAAGACAGACATACAAAACATAGCCATGTTGTTATGGCGCCTCAGATATTCGCAATATTTGTTTTTTTAATTGACAATCGCACAACAATTTACGCTAAACCTTGAGCAATATTGGTGGGCACTGCGGATGGGGTCGGTCGTTTGGCGCCGTTTGAGGTATCGTTAGGACAGACAGACAAACAGACAGATCAAAATTTTTCCGTCGAAGGTCCCCAAGAAAGACTATCGTCTTAAACGCCATGCGGCCTCGTGGCCTTGACTGCTTTTTCTATGCTTTTTTTCTTCTTCGAATACGCGGTTTTTCGGTGCGATGGCGCAATAACGCATGAGCAAGTTGCGGACTTGCGCGGCGATCCCTGTAACGGCTGAGTGCACCTTGCTCAGAGAGCCAACAGCTGATACACGGCTATGAAGAGTCATTTTTCAGACTCTTCCGCCTTTTGTCGAGAGAACAGAAACTAGTTTTTAGCTGATTTGAGAATTTATTGTAAACTTTAGGCTGCGTGCTGCACTATACTATTTTACTCACGTGTTCTCAGGAGCTTTCGGCGTCTACTACCGATTGGCAGCGTTTTCTGACCATGTTCATAAAGTGTTGCAGTGCCCCCTATTCAACTCAAAGCATTATTATTAGTCAAATGGGTCAATTGCGTGCTGACAGCCAAAATGAAATTATGTGTGTTCTGGAATTTGCAACTTCCTTCGAGATAGCGTTTTAATGTGCGCTTATTGCTTTTTTTGCATTTTCATGAGGGTAGAGGATGGCTCGTGCGCCTATGCAACTGCCGGTGGCACAACGGGTGGACCCACTACAATTTCCCGCGTGTTTACTGGACCTTTGTGCTTTACTGCCTGGTACCACCAGTCCGGTACTGTGCACCATGCTGCGGAGTTCTCGGCCAAAGGATCCGATGGCGTGCGACGAAACTTCTACATGACTCAGCAGGAGATGTCAGGACGCTGGCAGCGGGTCATATATTCCGATAAGAGGAAGGGTCCAATTGAGGTGGGTGAATTAATAATCATGAACTGCAGATATCAGTTGTCGAAGAAGGCTCCTTAATCCTGAATTTCTCGTGCTCTTAAGACGTTACATTTTATGGGTCGTGAGGGGTGGCGTGAAAATAACTGCCAAAGGCAAACTGTTTAACAAAATTCACATCGAATTGCTTGTTGGTACATAATAATAAAATAGTGGGCAGCATAGGAGGTGGGAAGACAGGAAGCATAAAAGAGAGTAAAGAAGCTGAACCAGGACTGGGCACGCCTGACAATGTTGGCTTTGTCACAAGTCTTGGAAAAGGAGTAAACGTTAGCGTGGAGAGAAACGTCCCTGTTTCTGGGGACGTAACAGTTCCACGCTTGTCGTGTGTGTCACTTTTCGCTCTGCGCGTGGCATAATAACCATGCTATACTCAATATTTTCAGTACCCAGCATTTTGGACCAGCAAGAATGCCCTGCTACACTATCCAGTATTTATTTGGCCTAATAGAACTACCACTCGCCGACTAGGAGAGTGACAACTATTTATGGAAATGTACAATGTACATATTCGTACGTCATGTGGTACAATAAAAACATAAAACTCATCACTGACCATGACAGCGATCACAGATGATTCGTACCAGATCTTATGGAGTTCTTATTTTGAGTTTTTATTTTACTGTTCAATTGTTGCTTTTAAACTCACACTACTAGAGGTGAAAAAAAAGCATGTTGGAGTCATTTTGCGAGATTTCACGCAATGTATATTGCAACATTGATGTTTCCAGCAACATTCACAAACCGCCGAAGCTCGGGAAACACTTCCCGCGTTTGTCCATTTGGTAACCAGCATATTTTTTTTTTATTCACAGAAATATTAGCTGATACTTATAAGGTGGCGCCTAGTATGTTTGCATTCTATGAGCTTTTGTTGGTAGAATAATCGAGGATTGTTTTTTTTTTCTTTCAGATACGAGTCTACTACTTCGTCAGAGACTCGTATGAGGAATCTACTTTAGCACTTGACGACCTGACACTGGAGAGCGGCGAGTGCCCGCCAGGTAATAACCTTGGGATAATGCAATGCAAATTTTGAAAGCTACGTTAAAATATTTGGGCGCGTTTTCTTGTAATCATCTAATATATGCTTTAATAATACCAGAAATGAACAATAATACAGTGCCAACAAAAACGGTGCAGAAATAGATGCTAACACCAAAAGAGGTTCGCCACCGAAATAGAAAATATTGCCAAGGTATTGTTTAACGAGGTTAACTTTAACTTGTAGATGCTTTGCCAGTACTCAAGAATGACTTTTTGCTGAGCTAGGTGGGTCAATGTAACTCACGCCACAGCGAAAGAAAGTCTTTATATGACTATGACAGTGACGAAGTGTAAAGAGTGCTGACCGGCTTATTCCGATGGAAACAAATGTGTGTCCATACGAAGCGCCTACATGCGAGGAAAAGAAAGGCAAAAGATAGAATAATATCAATCAGCATGAGACGTACAGATTGATATCTAGATGAGTCTAATCGCCAATTCTCTAAGAACCTGAGCATATCTTTAATCAGTCCAAGGGAATGGATTGGTGGCCTATCACTCTCCCGCACATGCTTAGAATATCTACCACCTGGATAACCTTCATGACGCACTAATCTTTTTGCCCATCTACAAGCCACTTTTTTAAAACTTAGGCATGCAAGGCTTAGTAGGCCGAGAGCTTATCACTACATAGCATTGGTGTGCCCTGAAGGGTTCCGAAAGGAGGGGGGGGGGGGGGGGCGCTCCTCGCATTTTTTGGGCTCGATCTGCTCGCGTAGTCTCTGCTTTTGTTGTACGTGTCATCACACATTGGTAGTGTGTCACGTGACCTTGTAGCTCTCCTGAATCCCCCGGATATGGTGTACCTTACGGCTGGGCCTATCGGAGATGCCCTCACGGGCTCTTCATATGCGTAGGCGTGAGCGCTCGGCAAAAGTAACGCCTGGTAGTTTTTCAGTGTCGCTACGTTAGAATGTCAGACTTTGGAGGACCGAAAACTTGTTTTGTTGCCATTATTGCTTCTTTGAATCTACTTCGTTAAAGTGAGCTCTAAATGTTCCAACAGATTGCTATGTAGCGTTATACTGAAGATCTGGAGTACCCATTCAAGCAAGACTTGTGTTCGGCCTGGACGCATAAGCAGTATAATACGAGCGGTATTGGTAGGATACTGCAATACTCATCATTTTAGCGTATATATGAGCAAGGAGAAAAAGTGACGTGGACACAGTGCTGACTTACACCAACTGCTCCTCTTTTTAAACTGGGGTATATATGTTCTACAGAAGCGAGAGCACGCGGGTGCATTGTACATGAAAAATGCATGTAAAAGTCGGAGACATATGCGAGCAATGTGCTCTAAAAAGTGAAACGTGGAATACTAACACGCCCAAGCATATTGTATTTCAAGGCAAAAAGGCCGTCGTTCACAACAACACTCGTTTTCGAAAGGAGTCTCTAGAGTATTGATTTTTATGGTTAGGTTATCGTATTTTTAATGCACCTGACGCGTCCTGTTCGGAAGCATGAACAAAAGCGCACTTCCAAACAGATTTGCTTTTGTTTGTGGCAAACTATGTAATCTATCGCTGTTGCTTCATTTTCGACGCAAACATTTGATTCATATTTGATTCATTTCAGAGCCTACGGCTGGTTCTTGCAATTTCGATTGGGATGACAGATGCGGCTATGACCTCGGGAAAGGGGAAAACAGTTGGAAACTTTTGGGCAGCCAGCGAGAAAGCTTTTTCTTACCTGACTATTCTACTGGCACTATTAAAGGTAAGGACATGATACCACGCAGTTTAAGCGTCGTGGTAGAACATAAGAAATATGTTTTCTCTCAAGTTTTATTAGTCATTATATACGATCAGTAGATATGTAGTTTTTTTGCAGTGGCGCAGCTTTTTTTTTTTTGTTCTTCGAAAGTAATACCAGAGTCCTTCAATACTTCTACTGGTCATGACGTTTCGACGAAAGTGTGATTTAGACAGGAGCAACCGCTATATAGGAGCACCATCACCCGCGGCGGGGCATCGGAGAGGCCACGGCGCTGCAATTGTACGGTATGCGCTGGAGCTGTGAAACGTTATAAAATGTCGCCGCGAAGGTTGAATACGTCTTCGGAGTGACATTAGCTTCAAGTAAATTTGGGAAAGCTTCAGTATGGTGTAATTTAGCGACGAATGAGACCTTAACGCTAGAAATTCGATGGCAAGCTGATTTCACTGTAAGATATGGTACCGCTATAAAGGCATGCTTACTTTTTTGTTGAAACATCCAGTGAACATTCGTGTACTATACAGAGTTCTTCAACGGCTCTGGTGGTTCTTCACGCGTCGCGAAAGTGCAGTGGTTGCAACTTTTGACAGCGAATATCCAACCTTTCAAGCTATATATACACTCGGTGTTTCTATATATGAAGATAGATATCTTAAAATAGCCTCGCATGTATTAAACCAACGCCCAATTTCAATGAAGCAATGCTTTTAATTTAGCAAGCGATGAGGATCAAGCAATACTTCATACGACGATTACCTCTTTTTCGTATTTTGTTTTGCGTTAGTTTATCACTAGGGTGCCGTATCGCGCTTTAGGTTCGGTTCGCCAAGCAATGTAGTTTCTCGGTCCTTTACTATGCTGTGTGGCTTGTTCGTGCTGTGTTTTTTCTGTCCTTCTTTATTGTTTATTCTATAAAGGTGAAAGCCTTACATGCCTCCTCAGACGTGAAAATTGACCGACTGCGTCCCGCGCTGGAGGCGTCAACGTGTGACGCAAAATGTTATCCTCTCTTGCTCACGACGCATTGATGTCGAAAATTTGCACGCTTTTACAGCTTGCGCAAGTTTTTTTTTTTTTTTTTGAGCATTGTGGTGCAACCTTTCTTGCGCCGTCACCCTAGCAAACATCTATTGGATAGCGCTGAAGTCTCTGTTGCATGCAACGGATGTGTGATTTGATTTTTCCAAGCTGTGAGGAGCTGCATGTAGCTCCACCTGTTCGACCTATCACCTATACACTTTTGGTCATCTCAGTGCCTATATAAACAAAAACCTTGAACATTTCACTCATCAAGCTTCTGCATTACTTACTGGCATATTACGAGGAAGATGCGGCAGCGTGCTCACCTTTATTAAATGCTTAATTATCTACTAAAATTATGTCAAGAGAGCTCATGCACAGTGTCGATGCAGCACAAAGTCTCCAGCTCGCGGACGGTTCTCGTCTGCGCTTGGTAGGTGGGCGAGCTCTGCCTCTTTTTGCACTGTACATTTACGCCGTGAGGCCGCGGAAAATCCTCGGCACTGCGTCGGCAAAAGTTTCGAAACGTCGCGCGGTGACTTCACACACCACCTCTGATTAGTCACTCAACCACACGAACGATGTCACTCTCATCGAAGTGCTTTTGGCGCACGCGTACATTCGGGTAAACAAATGTGAAACCACCCGTTTCTTATCGCGGTATTCCGACGCGCTGCCACTTTTCCCGCCGATTACTGTCTGTACTCAGCGAGAACTTAGAGGCTATTGTCACTTATTTTGTAACGGGATTGACAACAAGGTTGTAATGACGGTTTAATAAAAGTCAGTTGCGAGTGTGTGCTTTTCTGTATCTTCTTTCTCCATGTTTTGCGCCAACCATATTCTACACAGCGTAATAATTACATTTTGATTGACAGTGTTCACAAAGCATAAACGCCACCACCAGATCAAGTTGGGTGGGCTTTGAGCGCACTGGCTCATACTTTCACCGGTTGTCCGAATCGTCGGTCAGAAACCAACAGACAGACGGAAAACCGAAAGTCAGGTGGAGCAAAAGTTTTGCGTTCAAGTATCCCAAGAAAAACTACCGTCATTCAAAACAAAATAAACAGGCCGACACGTGTGTGCACAATAAAGATAAGACAAATAAAGAACCTGTGCGCGGGTAATTTCACACACTAAAGAAAGTTTCCAGCAGGGTGGAAGTAGATGTGTTTGTGTATTGCTACACAAAAATTAATAATACTTTGTAAGGGTGACTTGTTTCGTACCACACGACAAGAATGCACGAGAAACACCAGTGTATCTTGTTTTCTGTGCACGAGGCCTTGTTTACAGCTTCCCATTTCAGCACAGCAAGATGTAGGTACATAGGAGAGATAAGGATATGTCTGATTGACAAGCAGGTTAACGAAGCAAAATCAGAAGTTAATTCTTTAATGGGGACGGGCGCGTCTTTGCGTATCGCAATGGCTGCGTTTAAATAGCACTGTTTATTGAATGTGTCGTTTCGTATAAAAAATTTAAGATAGTCCAAGCCTGTCTCACTCAAAAAGAAGGTGCCAGCTGTGCCAGCGCCGCTCAATTACTTTGAGTGCTAAGGAAATCGCACATCTGATTGAAGCTGGCATGTATAAGTACAAGAGATTTCACAATAAAAAAAATAAACGCCAGACCAGCGCAGAAGGCGCAGTACAGTCACAGCGAAAGCTAGAAGAGCGGCCTCTCAGAGCCTTTTCTAAACACTAATTGCGTAACTGCTGCAAGCACGCTTGCTGTGTACCACTACGGCAATAATTAATAATAATTGCTAGGTAGTAGGCTGGCATTCGCTATGCTATTTCTCGTCATTCTTCTGAGAAGCGTGGCATTCGCTAAGCACTTGCGAGGAATTTGTGCCAAGTGTTCATTCAGTGGCTGACGACGATGAGGAATTACGCCTTAAGGGGGTATGTGCCACAGTTAATAGGGGAACAAGAACAAGCTTTTGTAGAGGGCTGGAGCATTGGACGACCCACTCGTTAGGCTATTCGCATTGTAAGGAACCTGGTTGTTTTTTGCTGTTCTAAAATGCTTTATTACTCATATAACGCGGTTCCTTTACCGACATAAAGCCTGCCTAAAGCAACTTTCCAAACAAGTATGAAGCACCGGCGTGGTTCAGGGTGAAAATACTGGGCTGGCACGAAGCGGACCCATGGTCGAGGCCCACTGGTTCATTGATACAAGTTTCTGTTATTTCGTGCGATAGTGGTTACGCACACCGGTGGCGGCGGCGGACAACTGCGGCACCGCTCGTGACCTGAGTAGTGATTTCACAACAGCTTTCGCTGTAAAATAAAGACCGGTCCTTTCTAGCTCCCTCTTGTGTGGCTGACTGGAAGTGACAAGTGATTGCTTCTGATGCTTACACATAATTTAGTTGCTCTGTAAGTCCGACAGCGATACTTCGCAGTAATGTTCTACTCTTGATGCTGCCAAATTATAGTGGTGACTTTTGCTTTATACTTTCGCAGCTGTTACCTACACTGACTGCGGTATATTCTTGCTTTATTCGCGTACATTTGAGCTGCTAACCTTAGAATCCTACATTGATACGTCTTGTGTAAGAAAGTACATGGGGTGATGAATTAGTTTCATGCAGCTGCATTTCTTTAGGTGGCGTCGTCTACCTGGGTCTGAAAAATAACTATACATCTGCCGTCTTGACTTCCCCAACGCTCACTGGACGATCCGGGGTTCAATGTCTTCAGTTCCAGTACTACCTCCCGTGGGCTGAGGCAGTTGCTCAACGAGCGTACACCCTCAAGGCTACGGTCACAGGCAAGGAACCTTGAGCACCAAGTTTTACTGGTTTGCTTAATGTTAAAAAAAAGCATATTGCATTGCACAAAATATTAGTCCCGTTGTGCAAACCTTTTTTTATGCCCGTGTAAGCGCTGAGAGCTTCCTGGATGAATAATGAACACTGAAGCTCACGCTATATCTAGTTAGTTTTATCGCAAAATATTCTGTCATAGATGTCTTCCTGCACGTAATGCAGCATTTAAAAATAGCGGAGGCTAAGCTAAGAGAACGCATTACTTTGCATGCCAGTTGCTGTCGTATAAATCGAGTCACTGATTTTAGTAATGTGTAAAAATAGTGAAGAAATAGTGATGACTGTTAAGCAACCTGACAACACTCGTCTTAGCAAAATAAGTAACATTACTTATGTAAAAACTGCTAAAAAAGACAGCCCTATTCGAAGTACCCCCCCCCCCCCCTCTTTATCAAATATTTTTCAATGTTCTTGCGTCCTAAGAAAACTTCGACATTAGTAAAATAAAGCAAGCCTTCTCAAATAACCATTTACGCACCACAATTACACTGCGGTCACTCGCACCACGTATCACAAAAAGTTTTGTCTCGTGTTCGCATCCTTAACCCAACTATAGTTTTTCTCTAAATACAAATAATTTGTTTGAAAAAGGCCAGTTGGCTCCCAGCGGTGGTTTATAAAATCATGTCAAATATATTTGAATCCTTATCCCTTATGACACACACAATATATATATATATATATATATATATATATATATATATATATATATATATATATATATATATATATATATTGTTACGTACATTCCATATAGTGTACGATTAACTGTTTATTGGGGATAACTTGTGCCCTAAAAGTAAAGGAAAATGTAGCGGCTTTTCTAAAAAGTGATCAGCAAAAGGGGATAAGTCTTCGAGAAACCCTCGAGCGGTGCACCACTTTTTCTTCATCGAAATCCTGTGCTGAGGAGGCGGCGCCCGTCACGGCCTTTTCTTGTTTGATCATCAAGCCGCTGATCTCTTGAGGGGCGCACGAACTAGCGCGCGTAGTTTGAATACTGCGTTTGCCTTGCGTCATTATCCCTCCTCCAAAAACGCATCGTCCCGATGTGTAAAAGCAGTGTTGCTGAGATGGTCTGAATGCGTGTTTTCTATTGGAGAAATAGGTATTCCTCATGAACGGGTGTGTATAGTTTGATGTTCATTGCCTGTCATAGTATGGCTTCATTCTGAGCTACATGCACGATTTCTGTGATCCTTCGGCATCTTGATGAGCTCACTTGTCCTTCCTATGACACCTTGTAGTTCAAAGAGCTGACGCGACGAAGGACTCGGTAAGGGCTGAAATATCGGCGCATGAGCTTTTCGGAAAGGCCAGGCGTCCGCACGGGAGTCCAAATCCAAACTCGGACGCCTGGTGCGTAGTCGACTCCTCTCCGACGAAGGTTGTAACGGTTGGCATCCACGCGTTGTTGTTGTTTTATGTGATGTCGCGCCAACTGCCGTGCTTCTTCGGCTCGCTGAATGAATTCACTGATGTCAGGCTTGTGCTCTGTATTGTCGCCTACAGGCAGCATTCCATCTAATGGTGTGGTAACTATTCGACCATAGACTAGCTGGAGTGGCGTCACTTTAGTAGTCTCCTGCACAGCAGTATTGTAAGCGAAAGTGGCGTATGGCAGTATTTTGTCCCACGTAAGGTGCCTCAAGTCAACGTAAATGGACAACATATCAGTTAGAGTTCTGTTGAGTCGCTCGGTTAGCCCATTCGTTTGGGGGTGGTAAGCCGTTGTTTTCCTATGACATGTGTGGGTAAGTTTCATAATAGACTGCGTCAGATTGGCTGTGAATGTAGTTCCTCGATCCGTTATAACCACCTTTGGGGCACCATGCCGTAGTACAATGTTAGTGACGAAAAATTCAGCGACTTCTATAGCCGTGCCCCTGGTGAGAGAGGCTGTCTCAGCATACCGGGTTAAGTAGTCTGTCGCCACTACTATCCATCGGTTGCCCATTGATGACGTAGGAAATGAACCAAGTAGATCCATTCCTACTTGTTCAAAGGGAGATTCAGGTGGTTCGATTGTTTGGAGAAATCCTGCAGGTTTCAATGAAGGCGTTCTGCGTCTCTGGCAATCTCTACATGTCCTTACATAATGCTGTACAGCATCCAATAACTTTGGCCAGTAGTACTTGGTGCGGATGCGAGCAAATGTTCTACTCACTCCGAGGTGTCCTGCTGCTGGGTCATCGCGGCAGGCTTCCAGGATTTCGGGTCGTAAGGCCGAAGGAACGACGACTAGGAATTTCTCCCTGCTGTGCTCGAAGTTTCTCTTGTACAAAACGTTGTTTCTCATCAGGTACGAGGACAATCCACGGACGAAAACTCGAGGAACACGCACGGGTTGCCCTTCCAAATGCTTGATCAGTTTAAGCAACTCCGCGTCAGATCGTTGATATTCAGTCATGTCTTTGGTGCTGACGGCCCCAAGAAACGGAAAGTCGTCTCCATCTTCCACAGGTGCGGATTCCATTGGTGCGCGTGACAGGCAATCAGCATCGCTGAGCTTGCGACCCGACTTGTATACGACTGATATGTCGTATTCTTGCAACCTGAGGCTCCATCTAGGAAGTCGCCCAGAAGAGTCCTTTAGGCCTGCGAGCCAGCACAGCGAGTGATGGTCGCTCACTACTCAAAATGGTCTACCATATAAGTACGGTCGGAATTTCTGTATGGCCCATATTACCGCCAGACATTCTTTTTCCGTCGCCGAATAATATATTTCAGCTCTCGAAAGAGTGCGACTAGCATATGCGACCACTCTTTTCTCTCCGTTTTGCAGCTGCACAAGGACGGCGCCTAGTCCCAAATTGCTTTCGTCCGTGTGAATCCCTGTTTCGGCTTCTTCGTGGAAATGTGCCAGGCCGGGGTGGTTTAGGATTCGCTGTCGTAGCTCATTGAACGCGTCTTCGTGCTCACTTGTCCATGTGAAAGGCGTGTCTTCTTTCGTCAGTCGGGTCAGTGGTTTCGCAATCTTCGAAAAATCTTTGGTGAATCTTCTGTAGTAGGCACAAAGTCCTAAGAATCGTCTCACAGCCCTTTTATCCGTCGGTCTAGGAAACTTTTCTACAGCTGCTGTCTTTTCGGGGTCAGGTCGAATGCCTTCAGAGCTAACCACATGACCGAGGAAAAGCAGTTCATGAAAACCAAAATGGCATTTTTGGGGTTTTATCGTCAGCCCTGCTGAACTAATCGCTTCGATCACAGTCCGTAGTCGTTCCACATGCTGATCGAAGGTGGCCGAAAATATCACGACGTAATCGAGATAAACAAAGCAGGACTGCCATTTTAACCCGGACAGCACAGTATCCATCATCCGCTGAAATGTGGCGGGTGCGGAACACAGGCCAAATGGGAGTACCTTGAACTCGTATAACCCATCTGGGGTCACGAAAGCAGTTTTCTCGCGATCTTGTTCGTCCACCTCTATCTGCCAGTATCCGCTCTTGAGGTCTAGAGAGGAGAAGAAATTCGCGTCTTGTAGCCTGTCAAGGGTGTCATCGATCCTTGGATGGAGCTAGACATCCCGCTTTGTGACGACGTTCAATTTTAGGTAGTCAACGCAGAAGCGCAAGGTCTGGTCCTTTTTCTTTACCAGTACATTCTAAATATTTTTGCACGCATAAGGGTGTATTTGTTTTGTCCCATGGGCAACACCCTTCTAAAGTGTCTAGGAACACCCTAAACAATAAGGTGTTTAGAAACACCCTGAAACCACAGGGTGTAAAAAACGTTACACCCTACTTAAATAGGTGTTTATGAACATCACTAAACTATGGGTGTTGGATGAAGCTACACCCATGCGAGTGGGGTGTACACTGGAAACCCCCTTGAAACGATGGCAGGTTAATGGATGAGCATACTTGATCAAATGAAGCGCAATTAACAGGCAACAAAAGCAGAGACACAGGAGGTGACTCTCAGAGTTGTGTGTTGAGGAGAGCCGTTCATAGCACTTCAATCCATAAAATATGCATCACCAACTGGCCCAAGCCTCAATTGTTCACAGGGAGAAGCATATATGAACCTTCTCTGCAGCTGACAGGGAAGAAGGAAGATACTGGTGTCACGCACTACACTTATACCTGCATGCATGCAGCTGATAAAATAAGGTGCCATGGTCTTTAATGAGATGCATGAGACCAGTGTATATATGCGTACGCAGACTGGGCCGTAAACGACAAAGACGCGGAAGGCAGTTACACACACACACACACACACACACACACACACAGTAGTAGTGCAAGCAGTAACCTGTAGCGTAAGGTTCAGCCGAACATAACACCGAAGCAGAAAACAATTGTAAGCCCATATGTTAACATCTGCCGTTATTATAGAAAAACTGCAAATCTGAAAAACAGGACTCTGATGGCATTCTGCAAAATTTTGAAATATGTCACGGGACCAAGTTAATTTCTCCTATACTAAAAATTCATTGTTTTCAATACAATAAATCTCCACAACTTTCAAAAACATTTGCGCTAGTCGGGCGAACGACTGAGACGTGTAGTGTTTGATTGACACCCATACAATAGAAAAAAAACATATTTAAAGAGTAAGCGAGTTTCTGTAGTCACATTTACAACCTATTACATCTCGCAGTATAAATTTCGACATTAAAAAAGAGAACATTGAACAAGGTAGTGTAATTGGGGCTGTATTAATGTAATGTCAGTGTTGGTATACTTCTAACTGCAAAACCACTCGTCACTGCTGCTTGCACAATCATCTTCAGCTGCTGAGATGACTGGTGTCTTCGAGAGAAGTGGGGCAAAGCTGTTTTTCTGTACAGGAAATTCAATCCCGGAAACCTAAAATAAATACACAAGGAACAATGACTGATATTTTAAAAAGAGTGCAACACACAGTGTGCACCATGCATAACTAACTGCTTTCTTATGTGTAAGTATAAATTGAGTGCATAGCGAGAATATTCAGT